ATAACCAGGCCGCAGGAGACCATGAAGTGCAGCCAGCTGCCGTGAATGTGAGATGCAGTTGGGATGATCAGGCCAGCAGGGAGGGAGGGCAGTTAGGGGGCACCAGGCCCAGCAGAGGGGGGCAGTTGAGGGGCACCAGGCCGGCAGGGGGAGCAGTAAAGGGTGACCAGTCCAGCAGGGAGGGCAGTTGGGGGTGACCTGGCCAGCAGCAGGGGCAGTGAGGGGCAACCAGGCCGGCAGGCAGGTGAGCAATTAGGAGCCAGCGGTCCAGGATTGTGAGAGGGATGTCCAACTGCCGGTTTAAGCCCAATCCCCGGGATCAGGCCTAAACCGGCAGTCGGACATCCCCCAAGGGGTCCTGGATTGGAGAGGGTACAGGCTGGGCTGAGGGGACCGCCCCCCCTCCGTGCATGAATTTGGTGCACTACACCTTTAGTGAATAATAATATGTCAGTAAATGTAAAAGTTTAAACAAAGTGGAAATTTCCTACAAAAAAAAACAACAGAATCAAAAAGAAATAGGAAATCTGAATCCAGTTATCACCATAAAGAAGGCCTCAACTCATGAGGAGACTATGTTCATTGATGTGAATACACAGTATCAAAAAAATCGGCACATCTTCTTAAACAGATCTATAATTCCCAACATAATTTATTTTAGGATTTGATAAGCTGATCCTAAAATCCCTATGTAAGAGCAGAGCTGAAGGTGCATGTACCTTATCAACAGGCAGAGACTTCATGCCTCAATATATGCTCAGAGATTCTCAGATACGTGGGGTGCATTTAGGACTAAAGGATGCTGAAATAATACACATGCTAGTACTGGTAGTGTGTAGAAAGAGTGGTGCTTAGGGGCAGCAGCAACAAGTTTTATTTCATCATAGTTTATAATAAAAACAATTAGAAGCAGCCTGGATGTCCATCTAGAATACAACAAAATAAATTATTAGACTATTGAGGAAGACCATATATAGTAAAATACTACTTATATGAATTATAAAAATGTGCAAAATAATGCTATATATTATTTATAGGCATATGTATAATATTATGTAAAACCTGTATGGGAATAATAAACCCCAAATTTAGAAGAAGAGAGGAGGTGATCATACAGGCTTCACTTGTATATGTAACAACATATTTCTTTATACATGTATATATAAAATTTATGTAAAATATATAAGCCACATTGGTAAAACCATTCATCTTTTATAGGTCTCTTCCAGTCGACCAGACCTTTCTGGCTTTGATGAAGATGATAAGGTGTGTATCTGTGGGCATGGCTAGTTTATTAGCATTCTCTAAATTGGGAAAGGTAGGATATCTTGGTGTTTTTAAAACTTCTGGACTTCCCATCTTAATCTTATGCAGATCATTGTCTCCATATGTCCATTTTCAAGTTCAAAGACTTGATATGAAACTGCTGCTGTGCCCTAACCGGTTTGGCTCAGCAGATAGAGCGTCAGCCTGCGGACTCAAGGGTCCCAGGTTCGATTCCGGTCAAGGGCATGTACCTTGGTTGCAGGCGCATCCCCAGCGGGGAGTGTGCAGGAGGCAGCTGATCGATGTTTCTCTCTCATCGATGTTTCTAACTCTCTATCCCTCTAGGCCCTTCCTCTCTGTAAAAAATCAATAAAATATATTTTTAAAAATGTTAATCTTTAAAAAAAAAAAAAAAAGAAACTGCTGCTGTGCACTCTGTTACATTGTTACTTATTATATAACACTGCTTTCCATACCAGGATAATACCACACATAATTGAATATCTGTGTTTATGAGACTAACTTTAACCGATTTAAGGTGTTACATCCACCATAACAAAATCACAATTATTTCAAGTGTGTAAAATTAGGGATTTAAAATCAAGGGCATTTGCAACATCATCTTATTCAGCAAACATTTCTTAATTATATATTGTATGTAAATTACTAAGCTAGGGACAATGAATGATTCAGAGTGTAAACACAGATTATGTCCTCAAGAAGTTTAAAATTTAGTTCTTAGAGGCAATCAACTCCTGAGAAGTTGAAGTAAATTAAATAAACTTGTACGATATACAAGAGGAATTTTCTCCCTTAAGATACCAGTATCTTATGCCAGTTTGATACTCTTAAATCTCAGGTATACGTAGAGTAACCATATCACCTAGTTTGCCTGGGGCCATCCCAGCTAGTGCCTGCTACCCAGGAAAAATTATTAATGGAACCGTTTCTCTCTAAAAAGTGTTTCAGTTTGGTCTTTAAATGATTCAGCCTCCTTAGATACATACCAAATTCATAAAAGTGACTGCTTTGGGGGAGTGAGGAAAATGAATGGCACCTGTAAGTCACTCTATTTGTAATGATTTTATTAAATTTTGAACAAATGCAATAAAATATTAACATTTATTTACTCTAAGTATATTTTGTACTTGTATGACAGTACTGGTCATATTTAGGACTTTAATATGTGTTTAAAATATTTTATAATAAAAAGTAGAGAAAAGTACATACTGCCATCCCATTAAAAAAATAGGAAAAAAAACCTCAAATCAGGCTTCATTTTTCACTTCAGAGGGATTTCATTACAGCTTAACCCACATTTTACCTTGTAGGGTTGGCCAGAGAACCAGTTAGACATGTCTGACTACAGCTCCAGTTATCAAGATGTAGCGTGTTATGGGACTTTACCCAGGGATTCACCTCGAAGGAGTAAAGAAGGTAGTGGTGAGATTGTTTTTCTACATTACCTATATATATAAGAGGCTAATATGCTAAGTGTCCATCCAGGTAATGATGTCACATAGCAACACCCGGCTTCCTCTCCCTACCAACTAGCCGCTTTGCAGTTTCTTCAGCCCAGAAACACGACTTGCTTCAGAGCCAGGTGGAACCATTTTACACTTTAACCAAATGTCTATGAAGCATTTTCCCAGGCCTCATCTCATTTGATCCTCACAGAAGTCCTGGAGTAGGTAGATAAGAGACTCGGTGGGATCCTATTTTCTTTTCATTAGCCAGAAAATGGATACTTAGAAACTTGACCCGACTGAAAAGAAGTAAGAAATGGTGGACCTTGAAAATGACTTCAGGTTTTCTCACTGCGCAGAATATAGTCAAACTGCTGCAGTTAAATATTTTACCCTTTGTTCTCCCTGCGTAATCTACAATAATAATCTGCTTCATGTTGATATTTACTGCTGTGTTGCTCACAATTACCTGAAAGAGAAGTTGGGGTGCTTCACTGGGCTGGAAAAAGTTTAGCTAAATCAGAAAGCAGGTCTAATTAAGCAAGTTTATTCTATATCTATAAAAGGCTAAATTGACTCATGCATGAGCGATACAAACTACTATGAAGCTCTCGCTGGCACCAATCACATGCATGTGTTTTGATCTGTCATTGATCGTGAATTTGGTTGACACTTCTATTATAGAGAAAGGGTGAATAGTGATATTAAAATATTTCTTCTAATGAATTTCCTTTCAATGTGCATGAATTTGTGCACTGGGCCACTAGTTTCTTTATAATTCCTTAGGAAAAGCAGGGAGTAAAATTATTTTATAGATGGCAAATAATAAGATAGGAAGCTGAAATTCTAGTTTGCTAGATAATCTGAAACTATTTTCTTGCATGGAACATATGTTCACTTATTTTATTTCTTTTTGCTTTGTATGCAGTGTATCATTCAAATAATAGGCCTTTCGTGTACCACTTTAGAATTTTCAAATCATTTTTCATACATCATTTCCTGGGTTGGAAGTCAGTTTTGAGATATATACACAAATCTTATTACATTATGATTAGACTTCATTCTTCCCCAAAAGAATATCCACTTCTGTCATGTTTTTGTACTCAAATTAAAGGATTATTTAGGAGAACATGTCTCTGATTCCTAAACCAATTTTTAAAATGATACCAGAAAGTAATTTAATCAGTGACAACATTATTACCTAAGTATTATCATCTTTCAATGCCCTGATGTGAACAGCATTCTGTGGATGTGCAAATCAGTTCTATTATCTTACACCTTGTATTTTACTTAAGTGCCATTGTACCAGTGAGCTGGGGAGAAAATATAGGAGGAAAAGAGACCCAAAAATGAAAGAAATGAGTAAAAGCCAGAAAGAAAATTGTCCTTCCTTAGTCATATGGAGAAGGCTTGAGGCAAAAGGGGGCTTGCAAGAAAATGTATACAGTGTTCACTCATTACTTATTGAGCCTCTATTTGCTATATGCAATGAAAGATACAAGAAGGTATCATTTATAGATCTTAAAATCTAACTTTGGAAATGAGATACCTAGAAAATTAGATATTAAATGATAAAGTGCTAAAATGCATGTGCATTCTCAGAACTCTGAGAATTCAGAGAAACAAAATAAGCATGGGTCTAAATTGGTATGGTAAGTGGCGCTTAAGCTGGATCTCGAAAAGGGTAGAAAATTTGGTTTCTCATTTCTATGATGACTCTTTTGATTTTGTAGTTGTATCTCCATTCTTTTCTACCTCTTTGTTAATGCTTAGCCAATTATTAGCATATTAATGTCTTCGTTATACCAGATACTCCTGTGGTTAGGTTATACCTTGCTTCCTATGTATTGGTTAAAGCGCTCTGTGCCTATAAACCTATGATTTTGTCTTCCCCAGGTTGTACATCAGAGAATCCTCATGCCTTAACAGTCAGCCCTTTTAAAGCATTCTCTCCTCAGCCACCAAAGTTTTTCAAGCCCCTAATGCCTGTAAAAGAGGAGCATAAGAAAAGGATAGCTCTTGAAGCAAGACCTCTTCTAAGCCAGGAGGTAAATGCTTGACTTGTCTGTACCATGTACAATAGGAAAGAATCAATCATGTTGCCTGTGGAGAAGTAACAGTTTGCATTAACAAGTTGGATGCTGCATGTAGACATACCTGTATGATCATTTCATGGATCCTATTCTGGAATATCTCTTTCTCAAGCACACCAGGTCATTTTTTAATTTGTTGTAATTGCTGTTGTTTTCTTTGTGTCTATGGATTTTCAAAGTCTTTTTTATCTTTCAAGTGAGAAAGAGATGTTCCTGGGGTGTTTTTGAAAATATTAAAGACTTTCTTTATTTTAATTTGATAAAACCAGTTATGCTATTTGCCATAGAATCTGTGTAGTCTTGTCAGATTTCATTAGTAATTTAACTCGAGCCTCTGAAATTGTTTGCTGCACTACTCACATGTAATAACGGTGTTTGCATCGCTTTTCTAACTTGCACGTATTTAATATGTAATTTGGCTGTTATCATCTTCTGTGTGTGATGCATCTGTGTGTCTTAACCTTTGCAGAGCATGTCTCCATCTCAGGCACATAACCCTGGCTGCACTGTCCCCTCAGGAAGCAATGGCAGCAGCATGCCAGTAGAACACAATAGCAAACGTGAGAAGAAGATTGTAAGTTCTGGAACCGTTTCTGTCATATTGCCTGGTGGTGGGTTTAAGGCCCTTTCACAATCATCCAAATACTTGGAAAAAAAATTAAGATATGTATTGGGTCTTTGTTTTGTTGCTGTTGTTTTTAAATGTGACCATCGGTAATGAAATTTTGCATGAACATGACTGTGACGTGTGCTTTTTTCCTAAGTGTTTATTCTACTTAATTGAATTTATTTTTTTTACTTAGTATAAATTTGCTTAGAAAAAAGGGGAAAAGGCACTTTTCATGATTCTAGACTTTATAAAAAGTGTAACAAAGAGATCACTTTAACTAATATTGAATCTTTCTGATGTGCCTGTACATATTGGCCAGATTCTGAAGTTAATCTACCTAGAGGAATTGCACTTACTTGGAGTAAGTAATCATGCATCTAGCTGTGGGTATGTTTGCAAGCTTTCTTCATGTTGCTCGATGCTATTGCCAAGATTGTTCTGTAGTTTGTAGCCACACTCCAGTCCATCATCCCCACTCATGATCGTCGTCTCTACATCCCAGATAGCCTTTTATATTTGCTCTCCAAACATATTCCACATCCCTTGGTGTCAGTCTCGTCCCGGTGGCTTATCTATATTTTACCACAAGTAGGTTGGAACTCTACCTGTAAATCCTCATTCCCCAGCACTTGGTTTTCAACTTACAAATTTGAGAAATTGTTTTTAAAACACTGCACACCAGGTACTTTGGATTATAAATGAAACTTCTATTTAAAAAAACAAACAAAAAACAACTGGGTTGACAGACCTGGAAAGAATTCTCTAATTTTGCATCTAGACCAGTGATGGCGAACCTTTTGAGCTCGGCGTGTCAGCATTTTGAAAAACCCTAACTTAACTCTGGTGCCGTGTCACATATAGAAATTTTTTTATATTTGCAACCATAGTAAAACAAAGACTTATATTTTTGATATTTATTTTATATATTTAAATTCCATTTAACAAAGAAAAATCAACCAAAAAAATGAGTTCGCATGTCACCTCTGACACGCATGTCATAGGTTCGCCATCACTGATCTAGACTTTCACTCTCGAGCGGCTTTTCCTAGACTTTGAGAAAGGAAAGCAGCTTGAGCAAGAGGGGCTGCTTGGCGTTGACGTTTGTGTGCGGGCTGCTCTGTGGGCAGTTTCCCTTCCCCGCTGCACCACGGGAGATCCATTCCAGAGGCTCATTATGTGAGGCCCTTTCACAGTCCTGGAATATGCTGCTAATGCACACCGTGTGAAACTAACTAGTTCGGATATGCAGTTGGCCGCTCTGCTGCATGCTTGGAGTGCTAGGCGATCTTAGGAAATGACCTTCTCATTCCTCCTGTACACTGAGGGAAGGAGAAGAGGCACCATTTCCCCCTCTCCTCTCCGTCCTTCTCTGCTGCCTTTGCCGCTGTGTTCTCCCTGTCCCTCTAGCCCAGTGGTTCTCAACCTTGGCTACACATTAGAATCACCTGGGAATCTTTTTAAAATCCTGATTTTTGGGCCTCATCCTCCGGAAATTCTGTTTCTTTGTTATGGGGTGGGGCCACAAAATTAGTAACAAAGAAACAGAATTTCCAGAGGATGAGGCCCAGAAATCAGGATTTTAAAAAGATTCCCAGGTGATTCTGATGTGCAGCCAAGGTTGAGAACCACTGCTCTAGCCCCAAGTCTCCATCCAGTTCCTGCGGGAGAGGAGAATGCACAACAGCAGCTGCTCCTCTGAATCTTAATGAGCTGCTCGGTCACTTGGTTGCCCACCCCCTGCTTAATTAATAAGGGCTGCAGCTCGGGCTAGAAAGGCCAGGTGGCTGTGTTACCCTCAGATTTCTTGGCTCTATGGCTGATTGGATCTGTTTGTTGACATGGCCCTTACCCACATGGCGCACAGGCACTACATTGAAACTCATTTTTACAACAGGCACACTTGGGTAGAACACATTAAAAGACAAGTGAGTGACCCTTCTGGGCTGCCCAGCAGATAGTTCCACTGTATTCAGAGTTTGCCTAATAGTTATTTTCTATACTTCAATGTTTTAAAACAAAACCTACCTCAGGACCTCTGGCTAGCAGGGGTAGACTGGGACCAGCTTCTCTTGACCCAGGAAGTCTCAAGCAGCAGCGAGCCTCCGGTCCCCTGAGCAGGACTCGATGGTACCATCTTACTTGAGAGATGGGCCTCTGCTCTCCTCTGAAGCTGTTGAACTATTTATTTTATTTCAGACAGCAGCTTTTCCAGGATGTTTTGGTGGACTTTAAGGATATCACTTGCTTGACCGGAGATTCTAGTTTCTTTTTAGGAAGAGTTTATTTCTCCCCTTATAAGTGGATATATACTGCTTTCTTCCTTTGTTCCTAATCCACTTTCTTTTTCCACTCTTGAAAAATGAGAGACTGAATCAATGGTTCAGTCTCATCAAGGGAGTTGGAAATCATTTTTGAGAAGCAATATTGAGACATTGTTCCTTTTATTTTTTAGCCCATCTAATTCCCAAAGTAACCTGTAATTTCACAAAAAATATAGTGAATATAGCTATGCTTGGTCCTTTAAAGCAGTATTTTGTTATCATTTAAGACAAGTACTTTGTGTCATGTATGAATAAGATAAAGGCAACGATATGCATTCGGAGTCTAAGTCATGAAGCAGAGAGAAGAGCAGCAAGGAAGTCATTTCTCCCTCTCTTAGGTCTTGTATACGCAGCACGTGGCTTATTTCTCCCATTTTTCATAAGAAGAAACAAAAGACTTGTTGAGTGACTGGCCCAAGGTCTCACAGTTAATGAGATGTAGGAACAAAGGCTCTGTTCCTCAGCAGAACTGGGCTGGCCCCGTGACCCCAGAGATGGTGCAGTTTCAGTCGCTCCTCTGCTGTACTTTCTAAAACAGTGGTTTTCAACCTTGGCTGCACATTAGAATCACCTGGGAATCTTTTTTAAATCCTGATTTCTGGGCCTCATCCTCCGGAAATTCTGTTTCTTTGTTACTAATGTTATGGCCTCACCCCATAACAAAGGTGATTCTAATGTGCAGCCAAGGTTGAGAACCACTGTTCTAACAGGTCTGCCCATCCCTTAGCACCACGGACAGACGTACTGGGGGTCCTTGGCTGGTACAATCTTTCTGAAGACCCAGACCGTCTCCCTGATGAACAACACAGAGCCAATTATAAAGGGTTTAACAAGTGAAACTCCTTGCAGAGTCACTGCTTTATGTGGGTTTTGATTCCTTCTTAGAATCAAGATGTTTTTTCTATACGTAAATTTCAGTTGCATAAAATAAATTGCAAAAATCAAATCATGAAGACTGTAGCTATAGAGAAGCTTGAGAACTTAATTCCATGATCCACTTTTAAGTATAGTTTTCATTCTTTTTGCCTTTAAGACATAGTAGAAAGGTGCTTAGTTTAGTCTTCTTTAAGCTGCAATGATAAATAATATTTCTGGAATAAAAAGTCTACGTAACCAAATTCCCTTAACATACAGTTTAAGACAATTAAGTCCTCTCTTTTCTTTTCGAAGACAATAACTTGATAAACTTTCAGTCTCCTTTTATGTGTTAAATATTTCCTCCATACTCGGTTTTCTTTTTCTGTAATTAGTTGTCCCTGCCGCTTTAGCCCTTCTCCCCACCCCAGCCCCACCCCAAGTGCAGAACTATGTACTCATCTCTATTTGAACTTAACATCTGGGGGTTTTTGTAGACTCTAAAGTTTTACTAAAGGTCATTCTGATCCTTTACAACTAATTTTTTTATCTTTGTGAGTTTGACAAGTGTACACCTGTTTCTACATGTTAGATTTGTGATTGAATATTTCATTTGTTTTATTTTAGGATGACAGGCCTTTCCTCAGTCTTCAGAAGAAATAACTTCAGGCATAAAAAGGGCCCCAAATTTTATTTATCTCGCAACAACTAACTCTTTAGTAAAGATACTTGGGCTTGGGGAGTTATGTTTCTTTGCTTAAGTTAAAAGGAAATTTAAGAGATACAGACACTTGCAATTCAGTTTTGAATCTAAACAAGTCAAGTGAAGAATCTAGAAAATACCGACAAAGGCCACTGATCCAGACAATTATTCCCAATCTTTGTTCCTTTACAAACACTCCCCCAACCCTGGAGAAAGAACACTCTACTCCACACGTTGGTTAGCAGTGCCACTTAATTTAGAATTCAGCTAAAGATAAGATGGCAAGAGATTAGTGTTGCCAAAAAATGTTTTGCTGATTTCTGGAACTTTATCACTGATATTTGATATTCACCTTTAATTAATAGCCAAGGAATTAAGATTACCGATGCTTTTAAGTAATTTATATTCAAGTTATTTTTAAAACTAAAATGTGCTGGAGAGTATTACACTAGTTTGAGGTATTTAGCATCTAATGAGATGTAAAAGAAAATATTACAATAAAATTCAGTGGATGAAATTTATGTTGATTTGTGAACTACCATCTGCTATATCAGTGGGGTGTGGTCTTCCTCCTCCTCCCCAACTTCTCTCTCTCTGCCCCTTTCCACCTCCCTCATCCCCTCCAAGTGTCACTCTGATCAGTAAGGTTGATGTTTGGTTCCAGAAGATTTCCGTCCACCAGGCAGTGTCCAAGATCGTTGCTCAACATTGGTATTCCCAGTTCTTGGGACAATGGCTGGCACATAGAGGGTGCTAGATGAATGTTGAATGAAAGTCATATTTTAAAAGAGGAAAGGAATATTTGCAATGTCACCAAATGTTTATAAGGTTAATTAGAAAGGACTAGATAGTAATGTCATTTATTTTTATTTGAATGTAATATACTCATATGTTTTACATTGTTTTCCACAAAATATAAAACAATCATTCATTGGGGAGAGAGATTGGGGAGTTGATAACACCCACTTTTGCATATTTACCAGTCTTTTTAAACAGACTTCTAAAGCTATTTGACAAAGAAGATTTTCATTTAAATCTTATCTTCCTTACTTTCTAACCAAATCCTCTATCCATGCTTCCCCAAACCCCTGGAAAGGTAATGCTAGTACCTACAGCCTTCCAATATTTAGTATAGTGCTGAGAATGCGTGGAGATTGTGATCTTAGCCCTTTTGCTGTCAGGGCCTTATTTTACTGCCCTCTCTACCATAAAATAGCTCAGAAACCTTTCACAAATTACCTTACGGTTTATCTGCACTGTCTTCCCAAGGCGAGGATTGTAAGAACCAGTAGAGCGGCAGCTCCTCCCTCGCTGTCCCTCTTCCTCTCTCCTTTAATTAGAGAAGGAACAACATCCCAGCTGAAGACCAATCGCAAGTAACTAATTCAAGGCCGCTGCACTTTGTTCCAACCTTTTCTTAAACCAGGGGAGCAAAAGTTTCTAATTAGCATGGCATGAGCATAGAAGAAATAAATCTTCACATTAGGAGATAATGGGTTTGTGTTCACACATTTCTGAGAACAAGGTACCTGTGTCCATACTGTTGACAAGATTTACCAAGCTCGAAAGAAAAGGAAAAAAATAAACCCTAAGCATGAATGCCTGTAGTAGTAAAGTATTTAAAACCTATCTGAATAGTGCAGTTGCTCTAAGGAGCTAATGGCTGACTTCTGCTTCACTTCTATAGGACTCTGAGGAGGAGGACAGTGACCTGGAAGCTCTTAACAGGAAGCTGGCAGGCTCACAGCCTTATGTACCGGTGGAGTTTGCTGACTTCAGTGTTTACAATGCCAGCTTGGAGAACAAAGAGTGGCTTTCTTCTAAAGTAGATTTGACGAACTCAAGGGTCTTGGAGAAAGAAGTATCCCGTAGCCCTACCACCAGCAGTATTACCAGTGGCTACTTTTCCCACAGTGCCTCCAATGCCACTCTGTCCGACATGGTGGTCCCCTCCAGTGACAGCTCAGATCAGCTAGCCCTTCCGACGAAAGACACAGACTCCAGTGAGCATTCTGGACTAGCGCTTGGGCACGATCTCAGACCGCCCTCAAACAAAGAGTTGACAGAGCTAGAAAGAGGTTTGGTAAAGGATAAGATCATTATGGTGCCACTCAAGGAAAACAGTGCCTTAGCCAAAGGGAGCCCATCATCCCAAAGCATCCCTGAGAAAAACTCCAAAATGTCCTGTAGGACTGGCTCATGTTCAGAACAAGATGCCTGCTCCAGCAAGAACGGCCACGCCTCCCGGGAGTTCTGTCCCCGGGAGGTGACCGTGGAGCACACCACAAACGTCCTCGAGGACCACTCTTTCACAGAGTTCATGGGAGCGTCAGACGGGAATGATTTCGAGGCTCTGACAGACTCTGCTGCTGGAGAGATTTCAAGTAGGAAGAACCTACCAAATAAAATGGACAGTGAGAGCGTCTCAGATGAGCCCCAGGACCCTGGCCAGCCGCATTCCTTGGCAGACAATGACCAGGTAATAAATTCTAGAGGCATTCCTTTGGGTTCTGTGCTCTCAGTGCACCAACCCCCAGAGGCCCTTCACCTGGGTGACTTAGTAGGAGAGATTCTTTTTGACATTTCTGACAGGGAAGATGGGCCCCCCTGGGGAGCAAGCCCACATGTTGCCCAGGGTCTGTGTGTGGGGAGAAGTTTGCTTGCATAATTTCAGAGTAGAACTAGGAAATACATAGGAGCAGTGGCTTTTTCAACTGCCATGTGGGTTTCATTGAAGGAAGCATTCATGTGGATAAGGATCAGTCAGCCTCATTCATTCCCTGAGATGTTTAATTCTGGTAGTGTCTGCCATAGTTCATCAAATTAGTGATTTCTTGACTTATTAGATACACCATTATTTTATGTATCATTAAGAAAAAATGCTTCCAATTAAGCTACATCATATCAGAAGTTGTAAAACACAATCCAGTTTCAGAGATGTTAAATGTTGGGGGAAATAACATGCATCGTAGAATTGCTAAAATGTGGTCATTAGGTGTCTATTGGGTAAAAGGTGCTTTGGGGAAGTACAGGTGAACTGCTTGAGCAACTGAAGTTTGGAACTTCTCTCCCCAACTTAAGAAGAATAATAAAGTTACTCATAACTGTTCTTACAAACCAAACACTTGTTGCCTCAAAAGTCTTCAACTTCCTCTACACTGACCTTCAAGCAGAATCTGCATTGCTGGCCTATGTCAGCTTTCCAGTCCCTCTTCCAAGAAGGGCTTGGACAAGAAGCCCAGGATAATTCTTCCCAGGAACAGTGCTTCTGGACCTAAATGTGCAGTGAATCCCTTGGGGGTGTTGTGAGAGGGTGCCTCTTAAAAATTCAGATTCCCAGGAGCCACTGCCCTCCACACCTAAGATTTTCCTTCCGTTGGGATGGATCCTGGAGGATAAGTTTTCACAAACCCCTCCACTGAAGTAATATTAGCAGGGTGTCTGAGGGCTGCACTGGGAGACACAGCCCATAGAAGAGGGAAGAGAGACAACAACCCCCTCATTTCATTGCCCAGCAAACAGGAAGCATGCCTCGTTTTTTGCTTTTGAAAGTCTCCTGAGCTGTGTCCCTGCCAGATACTTGGATTAAAGGTGGAATTTAGGAAAATATTTATTGTATTAAAGTGATGTGGGATTATAGTGGCTTTTCTTTTTCTTCATTGCTCTACTATTTTTGTTATTTTAGTTTTCGTAAGTTGCTTTGACATTGTAACAGTTTGAGAACTTTTTAAGTATTAAAGTTTGATTTTTGTTCTCACCTGGATATGACTTAGTATGTGGGCCCAGAAATAACAATTTTTTACTTTAACTTTGGGTCTTGCTTTCCATTACCTTTTCTGGAAGCTCCCCTGGGGGCCAGGTTTCTCCCTTGTATACTGTAAATTTTAGAACTGGATTCCATCTTAAACCAAATCCTGTGGGCCCCTTTAGGAAGAGCCCCTTGTGTAGGGTGGGTGCGTCTGGCTGAGGGTGGTCCCTGTGTGTGGAGAGGGCAGGTGGGAACTGGAGCTTGAACTCACTAGCCTCTGAATTCCAGGGGAGCAGGACCTCGACTACGCGGTGAAAGACAGCAAGCACTTCCTCCGCAGGCCCCAGCACCTTCGTCCGGGGTCTTCCTCAAAAACACCAGCCTCATCTTTAAAACATGCTGCACCCAGCAGGACCTCACACCAGCATGGAGAAGCCATGCACTACCTGGGCCACCACCTCTCCCCTCCTGAGCGAGGAGCAGCAGCAGAGCTTTGCCACCTGGGTGAATCGACAGCTTCTGCTTCTTCCAAAAGGCCAGAAAACCGAAAATCCTGGATTCCATAAGTGGCAGTATTTTTGTTTGCACTTACTACACACCGCACTGTGTAGAAACCTCCACAGAGTCAAACAGACTTATTCTTGTACAATTTTAATCAGTTCTTACTGTAGAATCTGGAGTCAATACTCTAATGTGGGTTTTTTATAAATAATATATAATATGTATATGAAATGTATCTATAGTATGTCTGTTCTGGGACAGACAGAACTGCACACTAAAATGCAGATAAAATGGTTTGTAGAAATCATAAGGTACTGGACTTTGTTACAAAGCACCTTGGGCGACCTCGTATACACGAGCAGATGAGAGACATTTCATTGCCTAAGAATGAGGTTGCAAATCCCTCTGCAGAAAAGGTTACAGAATGCCGTTCTTTATAACCAAAGAACTTCTATATGACTGACCGATTTTGCTGTCCACTCTTGTTTCCTGTGTACATATATGTTTGACTGCAAGTTTGGTGCCATACTCCCCTTGGCTACCAGGCCACGTGCTGCCGTTCTGTCCTGTTTCATAAGCACACTGAAAACTCCCACAGCTGTGTTCTTTGGTCTTCCACCTGGCCTGCCACCTGCTGACCTGACATTGTATTATAACCGTTGCCGGTGACTGGGGCTCTGCCTCCAGCATTTCTCATACCTTGGTCCAGCCCAGCAAGGCAGGCAGAGTGCGGAAAGCAGTATTACTGTAGAAACACAAGGGCATACCAAGAATTGGATTGGGGTGGGGGAGGGGGTGTGGATTTTTGTCTCTTCGTGGTTTTGTTTGGATTGGTAGGTTTCATTGTGGTATGGTTTTTACTGTTGCTATTGTACTTAATTCTGGAAAATGCTGAAGAGTTGGAATGAGCTGTAAAGTTCACAGGTATCCACTTCACCGTGTTTGCAGGAGACGATTGAATACAGATGACTGCTGTCCCTGTCTCCATTTGGAAAATGCTCCTGCTAATGGAGACATGGAGAGGAGCGTGTGTGCAGAAGGTGTTACAAAGGTGCTTTATGTGCCTGTTCTGAAGATGCCTGTGCAGCTGGCCTGGAGGACAGCAGTCGGTGTGTGTGAGAGCGAGGGACGGTGCACAGCCCTCTGCACCTTCGTTCTTTAAGTTCTTAGCATCAGTAAGTGAGTAAGATATTGGAGACTTTAATGAAAAGCTGCTGTTCATGATTTTTGTGTATAGTGAGCTGACTGTAGTATTTTACTATTGTCTGTTTTGAAAAAGAAAAACTGTAATTTATATCCCCTTTCAACTTGATCGTATTTAATTGGTACAGATTGTGTGTGTGTGTGTTTTAGAATACAGACGGTCTAATTCAGGTTTTAAAACAGCAGTTGTTTGTCTTTAATACTCTGCCATTAGTTTCAAATCTGATTGTTCACATTTGAGTGTCTCTTGTCCCTGCAGCTTAAACAATAATAGTCACAGCCAACATTCATTGAGGGTTTACTATGTACCAGGCACTGTTCCCAACATATGATATTTATTATCTCCTTTAATCCTCACAGCAATAGATGCCGTAAGTACTGTTGTTACTGTGTGTTTGATGAATGGAAAACTGAGGTGGAGAGGTTAGTGACTGGGAGAGGGATTTTTCTCACACTTCCAGCAGTTCCTCCGATCTGTGTTCTGTCTGGTGACGTATCATGGAGGGCCAGGCAGGACTGTGGTGAGTGTCAAAGTCCCAGACTGACCAACACTGGTGGGGCATCTGCAGCGGAAAGGACAGAATGTGTTAGTCCTGCTCATGGTGCTTAAACAAATATTTAGAGCAAGTAGCAGTGCCTGCCATCCATGAAATAGTAGTTAAAGGTAGCTTAATATGAAAGACTGACCTACAAATGCTATTATAGAATCTTTTCAGGAAAATCTCAGTTGTTTACAATAGCCTTTCTGAAGTATCAAGAATTAAATCTAACTTCTGGACAGAAGTGTCATATATTCTGCCAAGAAAAAATAGAAGGGAAAAAGCCCAAAACTTCTTTGGATTTTACAAAATAGGGGTTGGTGTGAATAGCAGCTATATAATATTTAAGTAAACTATTACAAATACAAACACAGTTCAAGACAAAATGGACAAATTATTATTCCCTTTACTAGTGTGAGATCAATGGCATTGTCATTTGTCATGACGTGGGAGAACAAACTGGTTTTAAGACATAGTTTATTGGATAGTTAAGTATAAGCATGGGTTTAACAGTTAATTTCCAAAGTACATTATTACCATTGTCATCACATTTATAGTTATTTGGACACATTTTATCATAACAAAAAGATAGCCTTGTGTTTCTAGGGCACCCCCTAAAATGAAGACTAGCTTAATAAAAATATCTTTAGGGTTAGGTAAGGGCAAGAGGCTATCTTCTATTAAATTATCCTGCTCTAGCCAATACTTTTTTTTTTAATTACAATATTCAAGCTTTAGAACTGTATTGGAAAAAACAACTAATTACATGATGAAGCTTTATTTTTAAAAGTAAAGCTTTCTATTCATATAATTAAAAAGTCTTAATAGAAGATATAATTGAATCAGTTCTTGCTATCTCCTTTTCTGGACCAAGAGCTAAAAACAGAAAAGGATGCTCCCGTAGGCAGTCACATAGAGAGCTTTTTGTATTCAGCTTTGAACTTGTTACAGTCACACTAGCACAAGTCTCTGTAATGTGAAGCCTACCTCCTAAATTAAAAAATGACAACAAAAAGTCAATCAGTCATATCTAGTTTTCAGACTTTTTCCTAACCTAGATGAAAGGCAGTGCCCAGCAGCGTCCCACCAGACATCTGGGAGTTGCTACAACACCCAGGTGGTGGGGGACCTGGACCAGAGATGACTCCATGAGAATCCTGGGACACGGGCTCTGCTCTTTAACTTGTCATGAACTGGTGCTGGCAGTAATGAAGACAAAATCCTAGAGTCTAAATTAACCTGCTTGTCATTTGTTTCTAACCCCTCAAGGTGCGGGAGAGATAATTGCAGATTTGAGTGCCACGAGTTAATTTAAGTTGAAATAAAACCTAGTCATTACTTTTCAGGTGTTCCAGGACACACACTCACCTCTGTGCATTCTGAGGAAAACAAGTTATTTTCCCTTCTCTGAGGCTCACTGGGTGCCTCTGTTATTGCATGGAGTTCTTAGAAGACTGCAGCTCAAGAAGGTGCTCCGGTGCCTCAGTCACTGTAACCTGAGCCCAGCTGGCAGCAACCACCCCCTTGGAGCTTACTGCAGGTTTTCTCAGCACCAGAGTGTCCCTGAGAAAGGAACTCTTAAATCCTTATGGGACCCTATTCATAGAGACAGTGACAAGCTCATTAATAGAACAATGAATGTCTTGTAAGAAAAAAGTAAGTTTTGAAATTGGAGACTCTGGAAGAAGAAAAGATTAACTGGAAGAAAGGAAAAAAAATGCCCAGTTTGGTTTTAAAGCACAAACCAACTTGACCCTGTCTCAGTACATACCTAAAGCACTTGTAACTTTGGACTTTAAAACTGGAAAACATTGGTGTTGGTAACAACTTTCAACAGTTATTTTGGACCATCTTCTAAATACCTGCCTGAACCCAACCACTTAAAGATGTTCTTAGGTTTCTTTATTATTGTTTGTCTTTTCATCGTCTAGCATGAGTTTGGGGGAATATCAAGCAGAGTAGATGTATTTTTCTTTGACTAAAATTTTTAGAAAAGTACGTATGAGCCAAAAGCCACACCTTCATGTGACTCACCCATCTTGAATCAGCATAATCTTTACCTCGTGTGTGGTCAACCACATGTAGGCCAAGCTGCTTACAAACCCCGGTGTTAAAATACTTAGCCTCAGTAAGTGCCAGGAAGAACAATTACCAGGAAGAAGGATATAAGATCTTACCTCAGTACCACTTGGACCCAAGGCTGTCTTAATGATATGAAATGCCAGTTTACCCAAATTGTTTTCTAGTCCTTTTTTCTATAGTGGGAAAGCTAGTTATTAATCTATTGCTGCAAAATAAATTACCCTTAAACCCAGCAGCTTAAAACAGCCTAAAACACCATCTCACAATTTCTATGGATCCAGAATTCAGGAGTAGTACTTCTAGGTAATTCTGGCTCTAATTGCTCATAAGGTCACAGTCAAGAGGTCAGCTGGACCCCTGGCCGGTGTGGCTCAGCTGGTTGAACATTGTTCAGTGCACTCAGAGGTTCTGGGTTTGATTCCAATGCCCAGGCTCTGGGCTTGATCCACAGTAGGAGGCATGCAGGAGGCAGCCCATTGATGTTTCTCCCTCTCCCTTTCTCTAAAATCAATAAAAGCATTAAAAAAAGAGGTCAGCTGGGGCTGCAGTGACTAGGACTGGGGAAACCCACCTGTGGGTGCTTCCCCCTCCTGACACTGGAGCTTCCTGGCGGTGCACCCCTCTCCACACTGCTGAGTGTCTTCACAGCATGCTGTTGTCTTTCCCTGAGTGAGGGGTCCAGAGAGAGCCAACAGAAGTCACAATACAGTGCCTTTTATGACCTGGTCTCAGAAGTCACACTTGGTCACCTCCACCACATTCAATTCGTTAGAAATGAGTTACTAGTCCAGCTCCCTCCTCCCCCGCAAGGAAAGGGAATTAGCTCTTCCTTTTGAGAAGAGGAAAGTCTAAGAGTTTGTAGACATTTAAAACCATCATAACTAGTTAACAGTTATATAGTCAAGACCATGGGCCAAAGCAAAGCTCACTGGAACCTTTGAGTGAATACAGGACTCCAACTCTTATTTATAAACGGTAGGGTGAAAAGGAAAGCCACACTTCCATGGAAGAAAAAGGAAATACTAATTAAAAAGTGAACTAGGGTAATCTGAATGTGTGAGTTTGGGGCTGGTAATCAAATACCACTAATATTCCTGGTAGAGGCAAATGATCAGAAACCTAAGTTTGCTTCTTGTTATAGTTACGTTACCGGATTCCAGGGCAGAAGGAATAGGGAAAATGAGACAGGAAAGTTAAAACAAGGCCAGACAGTGTGGGCCATTTGCAGCCAGTTTGTAACTAACAAGCCATTATCTTCCGCAACCAAGGACACAGAGCACATAGTTCAAACAAACAAACAAAAAACTCTCCCTAATGAGAGAACGCAGAAAGGGAAGGGAAAGGGGAAAGGAAAAACAGGCAGTTTTATTCCCTAAACAGAGAAGCCAGCATTCTCAAGGTTTGGCAAGATACAGTTACCAGGTGCTTCTCATGATTTCTGGGAAGGCCACAACAAAGTAAAAAATTAGGGACCTTGAGAATTAATCTGTACCAAAATGTTCAGCAGAGGAATTTTGAGACCTATAGATTGGGGGGGGGGGGGGGCGGGGGGGGGTATATAACACCTCAGACCTCCACCCAACTTGCTCTTCAGATTAGCTGAGAGCCCGTCTGTGCTTCATAAGCCAGATGTATAGGTTTGCTTGTTTTGCTTTTTCAATAAAGGTGCATGCTTTAATTGCTTTGATAAATTGGCTTTCACAACGCAGTCAAGGTCTCTCACATAAATTGATTTACATGAGAAGACAGTGATCGAGGTTGAGGACAGCCCTCTCCCACTAGCTCAGGGGGCTGTCCTGTCTGGTAACACCTCTCTGATGTTGGTGAGAGGTGCCTTTAACAGTTATATTTTCACATTTGATTCTTTTCAGATTTGCTTCATTGGAGGCACAAGCACATAAATATATTGGATGGCTTTGCTCAAAATAGGAATTAACTCTTAGGAAATTCAAACACATCTTTGCTCATTAAGGCAAGCAATAGTAATGATTGGCTTTAGAAATAAAACTGCCAAGAGTTTATGAATGAAGATTTTTTTTTTTTTTTTGCTAAAGAGATTGACAACGATAGTATTGTTTTATTATTAAAATGTTATGTAGATCCAATTGTTTGGAAATAAGCGAAAGAGGCGAAAGACTCTTGAAGTTTGTAAAATGAAACTTGAAATCCAAAACAGAATAAGTGGGAAAAAGAAATTTAAAATAAAAGTACTTTTTAAAAAATAGTTTAAAAAAGAAAACAGGTAACAAAAAATTAAAAATAGGCTAACAAGAATGGTGCAGGTACGTACAAAAGGATTCCTGGATAGTTTCTTCCTGTTTAAAATTCAACTCTTTCAGGCAAATATTCATCAAACTCAGCATGGGAGCTCTTTCCCCCTCACCCACCCCCCACCCCGCCTTTGGTCTGTCCCTAGGCTTTCTGGCCTCCCAGGATGGGTCTGGAAAGCACCATTAGTTGTCCTATCAGCCAAGGTCCATGCCTGTAATCTTGTGTCCTCTGCTGCCTCCTGCTGACCCCTGGTTGAGGAGCAGCTTTTCTTGTTTCATTTTTGGGCAG